TAAGTCGTGCTAGTCTTACCCGAGATCACTGATCCCCACTCTCAGTGTCTCTAGACTAGGAACATAAAATTAGGAATAAACGTGCGGTATCCTTGAATCCTCATGATCGTTATCTCATCACAGATACTCAAGAGATATTTGTTCTATTCCAAGGGGTTTATCCAGTTACTCGTATAAAATATTAACAATAATATTGAGATAAAATATGAAACAGGATAAATAGTGCTTTTATTTATTTGCGACAATATAAAAGGTCCACATATGTCCTAATCTAATCAAAAGATTGTCTCTAGGACATCCATATACTAACATCGCTTACCACTGAGTTTGTACCATTTCATGTACTCATGGTTGGGTGACATCAGGCTATGTAATGGGAGGGGCACGTCTATGTGTTGCTCCCTACTCTCCCGTCTCTGTATAGATTTCCTTAGCTTGCGAAAACAATTTTCATCTTTTTTACCTTGAAGGTTATAATCATGCACACTTTTATATTTTATGGTCCTATGAGGTATCGGTTGATCCCGTCCAAACTGCCTCATGCATCTATCAGGCTAGAGATACTTAGTAATGTGAAAACAAATAACGGGTGTCCTACCCATCCATAAATACCCTGTATGATCAAATACACCCAAGAAACCGTAGCCGAGGTATGGTTGCCAAATAACCTACATAATAAATAAATATACAATCAATTGAGTATTCACTACTATATGTAACCATAGGCTTAAAGCAAACCACCTACATAAAAAATAAATACGCAATCAATTAAAAATATACCTTATCTCTACATAAGGTGTTTAGTCTGTCTCGATACCAATTAAGTGAGTTCATTTTGATGCGCCCTAAATCATTAAACTTGATTTTCAAATTCAACATAAACATTAATTATAATACACATAAATAAATAATGAATCAGGCAATACAAAAAGATACATACCAGTGTCTAAAGTGCCAGTTCGACTGAGTTAGAAGAGGCAAAGGGAGAGTAATGGGTGAAAATTTGAGCCATGCTCTGATCCAAAGCAAAACAATGCATCCACCAATGTTTGATATGTCAATGTCTATACACTCACACAACTGTCTAAACAAGTATGCTAAAATCGCAGACCCCCAACTATATGAACCAATCTCATCAAACTCCCCCGCAAGTAAGGCAATGTAGCGACATCCTACTACGCTATCCCTCGATCTATCGCAAAGGAGCCAAGATCCTAACATATGTGCAATGTGCGCCTTAGTGTAATATATCACATTTTGCGAATGAGCGGCAACTGCACTCCAATGCGAATACACTTTATTGAAGTATGATAGCCTCACATTGCTAAAAGTGAGCTCAATGGCCTCGTTAAACCCATTACCAAAAACTTGGTTACACACAACCAACCAATCCAGGAAAATAGATATGGTAACTACTTGTCCGTCAATAGGCAATCCCAGGATAGCTGCCACATCTTGTAACGTAATGGTTATCTCGTCCTGCAACATGTGGAAGTTGTGTGTCTCTAATTTTCATCTCTCAACCAAAGCATTGATAAGGGCAACATCAATATGAAAAACATAAGACAATTATCAATTTATAGGTTCAAATACACTAATTTACAATGACTATATTTCAACACAATACTTATAACAAAATTCATAAATATATACCTGCATATGTCGCATGCAAGCGACATGTATGAATCGAGCCTGAGTTAGGCATTGTGCGATCAGGTCTAGAATATCACTGGGTTGTGGTCCTCTAGTTAATGTACCTCTTCGGCAAATCTTTAGCACTCTGTGGGTCTCCTCATTCCACACAGCCCATGAAACGTGGGTGCACTGTCTGCGCCTCTTGTCATCTATATGATCCAGGAAGAACATGTGTAGTGGGATCGGTGGGCTCAGGCTCATGCTCAAGTGTAGACCGAGGAGGCTCGGATGAAAAGGACTTATCCATAATAATATGCTATAATTTTTCAAAACATATTATCATAATATATTTAATTTCAAATAGTTTATAGGAATTAAAAATGTATTAAATCAAAAATATTTTTTTTATACAAAATCACTAAGCATAATAAAATTTGTTATGTATGTCCTAAGTCACTAATCATAACCTAGGTCACTATCCGTGTTCCAAACCACTACGTACATTACAAGTCACTAACCATGTCGCTAAAGTATTTCCTAGGTCATTATTCATAAAATAAGTCACTAACAATTTCCTAAGCCAATAACAATTTCCCAGGTCACTAACAATTTCTTATGTCACTGTTATAACATTTCTATTGCTGTAATTTAAAAATATAGAAAAAATATATTAAGATTTACTTGACTGACAGAGTTTCGCGGCGCAAAAAAGCTCAAGTAGAACTGAAAGAGAAATCTAGAGAAAAGTCAGAGCAAAATATTAGAGAGAAGATATAGAAATGGAGTGAAGTGAAAAAGTGAAGGGAGGATATTTATAGGAGTGTTGGGTCGTGCCTAGGTGGTGGTCGACAAAGCACTAGATGCGTCTAATTGGAGCGTGATCATTCACGTCAATTTTGGGTACGACTGTTGGTATAAATTCATAATTTGGTTTCAAAATACTATATTTTTATAATTTCTTATTTAAATAATAATATTTGAATTTTTTTGCCCTAAAATATTTATTAATTGCAAGCCATCAAATAAAACTCAACACACTTGATTTGATCGTTAAAAAGTTTATTACTAATTCAGTTCTATTTGTTGGTTAATATTTATAATTTTATACTTTTATATGAATTTTATTTAACTCGAGTTGAATTAGTAACTCAGAACCAATAACCCATTACTTTGATACCTCAACTAAATTAATTATGGATTCGAGTTTACATCATTGATCAGCCTTTTCAAATATGTTTACAAGAGGCTTGCAGCCACTCATTCTCTTAAAAAAAATAAAATTTAATATTTCTAATGAAATAAAAATTATCTCTTACATTCTTATAGAAATGTGTGAGATCCATATATTATACTTCTCTATTATTATATTTTTTTTTGGGATAAACTATAATTATCTTTTATCAGAGACAATCATGCTCGAGTCGAGAACATTCATATTATAGTGAGGCTAACTTTTCCAAAGATTTTTTTTTATATTGACAAGGACTTGAACCAAAGAGCTTGCTTAAATGGAATTAAACATGTACCATTTAAACTAACACCATTTGATATTTCTCCATTCTTTTCATACGAATCTTACATATTTTTAATGTGTGTAAAAAGTAATTTTATTTCTAATTTAAAAAAATGAAAGAAAAAGCTAGAGCAATATAGTACAAGTGTACAACTATTCTACTTAACTTGGGTTAATCTTTGTAACCACAGTTAAGTTTATTTACCCAGGAAACGACAATGGGTCCCGCAAGACACAAAATGCAAACTTGGAATTAATGAGTAGGCCGTTCCACTTTCTCCCAGCAAACACCGAAATTCCAATTACGCACACAAGGCCACTGCTAACCAAGCATTAAAATAAATAGTCCACGAGGGTAAAACCGTCTTGAAGCACCAAAACCCCGCTCCCCACAAAACCCAGTCTGTGTATTTGCAAAAAAGAAAATAAATAAATAAATAAATAAAATTTCTATTTTTTTTTTTTTCCTTGTTGAAAGCGGAAAATTCGTTTCATGCAAACAGATACAAAACCCAAAATTTCACACTCACACTTTCAGTCTCAGTCTCAGTCTCACTCTTCAGCCTCTCTCTCGTTTCTTCTCTTGCTCTTTTCGGTTCTCGTTTCTTTCAAACCCTCTCACGCGCTCTTAAGTGAGTGAATCGGTACTTGCGATTCGGTACTCGGATTTCTTTTTTTTGGTGATTCTGCAATTTTGTTCCATGCAATAACTCTTTTCGGTACCGATTCTGTGACTCTATCTCCGTGTTGTTGTTCTGCATTTTCATTTTATTTTTGTAATTGTTCATTTTCAGGGTCTAGGGTTTTGCTGTCAGCTCAGTGAGACGCTTAAAGTGCGGTTTTCCGCTTCTCAGGTGAGACAGAAGTAGAAAAATCATGAATGTATATATTTATTATGGTTGGATTTTTGTTTGACTAGTTCTATTCAACTGTTTTCTTCGAAGGTCCTCATTTCGGGAAAGGTTTTTGAACAACATTGTTCATTTTCTCTCGTTTTTTTTGTTTTTTGTTTTCTCGAACACCTCACCTCTCTCTCTCTCTCTCTTATTTTCATTTAACAAGTTGAAATGGAATCGAAGGTGTTTGTTTCATTTCTGTTTTTTTTTTTTTTTGTGTTTTGGTGAACAAGGATGCGAAGTAAGCTCCATTGATGAAGTAGTGGGGGCTTTCTTTACCTGTTTAAGGATTTGGGTTAGATGATGATAGCTTTCATGCTTTTGGTTGGTGAATTGGTAGGAATTCTTACGTGACTTTGTGATCTCTAGAGATGTTGATTAGTGAATTTATGTATGTAAGGCCACAATTAGTGCCCTAATTAAGTAGCAGTATCATTCATAGGGGATAATTACTCGTGATTTTGATTGTAAATAATTAACACTTCCTAGTTCAAAGTTATAAATATGCCTTTGTGTGGTTTGGTTTAAACACACAATTCTGCATAATTGAATCTATCTGTTTCTGTGGGAGTATTTTTCAAGGAGATAGTACTTCCGAGTAAGAATGGCAGCATTGCCTCTTCGTTAGGGTGGTTGAAATTTGAAAGTTCTATTTTTGCTGAACAGTATGTGATTTATATTTTCTAGTAATCCCTTCAGGCATTCTTGGTGGTCAATTATTACGGACATGTTGGATGTATTTGTTTCCTGCTGTCTTTGGAGATTTGTTTTATGTGCTTAATTCTGTGAAAGTGTGCGTAAAGTTATACTGGGTTACCTTTCTCTTGTATTATTCCTTTCCATTGCTTGTTTATTTGCTTTTCCTCTTTAGTTTTGTTGAAATTTGGTCTGATTTGCAAATGATGACTGTGATTGAGTTATCTGCTTGCAGGCACCATATATTTACCCCAGAAGTGATGGAGGATAATCCTCCTTCAAGTGTTTTAGATGGGAAGGTTGTTGGGATCAGATTCAGTATGGCTACACGCCAGGAAATTGTAAGCCCAAAATAGATTTATTTTTGCCATTAAATTGTATGAATACTAGATGCTGCTTCACAGAGCAGTTGAGCTCTTTGTGATATTCAGCTGATGGAGAACATCTCTTTTATTAAATGACAAATGAGATAAACTAGTATCAATTTTGGAGAATGTTATTATGATCAGTGCAAAGGATGAAGAATGGCTTGCTTATATTTCAGGAAATCCTTGCTAGAATTTTTGGCAGTATTTGTTGCTGTTTTCCTTGACAGAGACCTTATTTGGAGTATTATTTATTTTGTTTTTGACATTTCTTGAAATTTATTTATGTTGTCTTTTAAGTCTGTTAACAGTTACTGTTAGTCTCTGGTTAATTGATACAGTTTATCTCACTGATACCAGTTCAGATTCCTCTCTGTTACAATTTTTTAGATTTTCCTTCATTTTTTCCCACTTCCTCAGCACTCTTAATTCTATTACGTTATAAATATTTGGTCTGAATTTCTTTTTCTGGGTTAAAAATTTTCAAATGATTTTAAAATTTAGTCTCTAGCATGTATTCTCTGGGTACGTATATACATACATATATGGCTGCTTATCAGTTGGTGTTTTGTTTTTTGTTTAATTCTTACTTACCTGGTTGCTTGTGCATGTTTGGCTTTTTATAACTTTTTAGGGAAAAATTTGTATTTTTATGAAAGGCTCTATAAGTAATTTTTTGACTATAAATTGTTTTGAATGCAAAGTTAATCCTTATACACACTAATTTGAATGTAGTATCTACTTAAAGTTTTTGTAACTAAGCCTTCCTAATGATGTTATGATGTATTCAATATTTGATTGTTTTTGATCTATTGGGAAATTTTCTGCTTTTTTTTTGGTAGTGTACAGCATCCATTAGTGACTCTCAAATCAGTCATGCTAGTCAGCTGTCAAATCCATTCCTTGGGCTGCCTCTTGAATTTGGCCGATGTGAATCTTGTGGTACATCTGAACCAGGAAAATGTGAAGGTGTGCTATTTGCTCATTTTCTGTACTGATGTTCAAATGGAAAAAAAGACTTATTTCTAACGAACTAACATTTCAAATTTTCTTTTCAGGTCACTTTGGATATATTGAGTTACCAGTTCCAATATATCATCCTAGTCATGTTAGTGAATTGAAACGGATGCTTAGCCTGGTCTGCTTAAACTGCTTAAAAATGAAGAAAACCAAGGTATTGCCCAATTGGAATATGAACAATTTTTCAGTTTTTTGCCGTGTCTATATAACTTGTATTAATTAATTATAAAGCGTGAAGGAGCTTTAGCCAAATGTTTTCGTTTTCCTCTTTTAACTACATGCCAAATTTAGAAGACTCTAAAAAGGGCCATTTGCCGTTGAGATCTTTTAATTTTCCTCATCTTCTCTTTGACGTCATTTTGAACCCCCTCCCCCAACCCAAAAAAAGGTGTTTTATTTTTTGTTTTACAAGTGAAAATGCATTTGAACTTGGGTGAGGCTATTTGCACACCCATTATCTGTTTGTTCAGACTCCCCTTTAATTACTTGTAAATCTAATTTCCTAAACGTTTCTTAGCTAAATAATCTCATTTTTGTATTGTCAAACTCATTCTTATCCTGCACTTGTTATCTCTTCTCTCCCTTCTAGCTTTTAGGTTTTTTTTTTTGTTTTTTTTTTTATCACTTCTATGTAATTTAACTCTGCTTTATTAATACATTATGATCTTATTCTAACTCACTGTACAAAACAAAAAAACACCACAAATATTAGATAATGGTTCATATATTTATTTATTTATTAATTTTGTATGGGTTTCAAAAAAGCTTAGGGGCGAGGAAAGGCTACCTCATTCCATGTTTAGGGCATGCCACAAGCCTAAGTGAGGGCTTAGCATCATACTTACAAATTGCTAACCAAAGGGAGTTGCTGGTAGTGGAAAATGGAAATTGAACCTAAGCCTGTAATTGAAGGGTTTTGATCTTTATTGGTTAACCCTATCCTTGTTGGCATGTAGTCAGTTTCCCTTGATAAAAGTTATCCCTATTTGTTTACAAGCAAATGTAGTTTCGTTTTGAAAAAATATGAATTAAATTTAATACTCAAGTTACAAAGTGTCATTTTTATGCATAAGTAGTCAAACATTGATTCTGTAATTAATTTCAATATCATTTGGTTTTGAAGACGCATATTTGCTGCCGAATTGTTTTTGATAATATTGCATAATATTTCTTTACAGCAAATTGTTTCATAGTACTTGGAATAATTCAATTGTTATAGGTTTGTTAGTTTTATTAACCTGAAATTCAATTTTTTTGTAATTGAATCATACTCAATGTTGATAATTTCAAAATATCCTGGGTTGTTAACTTATTTATTAGAGAAGTTTCTTACTTGATGGTATGACAAATGCTTTGATTAGTATTTTGTTGTAATAATAAAAAATTATTTAAGGTGTCAATTTTTTTTAAAAAATATATGTCATTCTAATCATTTATCTATTTTTTTAAGATCCTTTTAGAGGTTGTCTAAATAATATTCTTTCAATTAGTAAATAGAAGAATTGTGAAATAAATTCATATTGTAGATATTTTTACTTATTGATGGTTTAAATACATGATTATTAAAATATGCAAATTTATTTATGATTTTATGAAAATTCATATTATCATATAAGCTGTATTCTAGTAAATATCGCCATGTCATTCTAAAGAGAATTGATTATCAATTTAGAAAAGCTTTCGGAAAAAATAAGGAGTATGGACAGTGATATTTAAAATGTGTGAAGTAAAAAGTTGTACTTCTTTAACTAACACCACTTAAGTGTAATTGAGGAAACAAAAATAAAAATAAATGTTGTAATCTAGTGTATATATTCATGTAGGAGTTTCATATTCTAAAGGGAATTGATTAAGTTTATAAAAGCAGTTTGATTTAATGAGGAATATGGACTGACAGTAATATTTAAAAATTGTGAAATGCGAATAAGTTTGACTTCTTCCAAAAAGACCACTTCAGGATGACTGAGGAAAAGAAAATTAAGAATTGTTATTATCGAGTGTATATATATAAGTATGAGTACAATTAGCCTCTACTTAAAAATTAATGTTGGTGAATATGCTGCTATTTTGTATTGCTATAGAAACCTGTGACTTCATTAATTCTGATCCACTAAGAAACATTCAAATTAGTAAAACTATTACAATTTTGTTGTTCAGGACATATTTTCTTTTTATTCTTGTTCTCATTTTAAATATTAGAGTGCCGTAATAAGATTTGGTTTGTTAATTTAATTGTCTTAATTTGTGTAGCAATCCTGCTATCTTGCACTTTGTGTGTTAGATTTATACAAGGATACATCCTTCTTCTAATGCCATTTTGTGTGCTTGATCTTACTGGCTTACAACTTTTCAGTTTCCAGCTTCAGGCATTGGTTTGGCACAGACATTATTATCTTCCTGTTGTGAGGTGAGTTTGAACAAATCATATAATATCCTTTCTCAATCCTGATTATACAGATGTTCAATACTAAATTAGTTTTCAATATTGCTCGTATTTGATTCTACCGTATATACATGATTTGCTACCATAGATATTTAACATATTCTTACATCCATGTGCGTGCACGTATAAATTTGTATTTTTGGCAGTATCTTGTTATCAGTAATATGATCTCACCCTTTACATGTCAAACCCCTCCCCTGATCTTAGACAGGGTCTTGATCTTGACTACCTTGATAATAGTACACCTTTTTTCCGGTACAAGATTGTACATTGCAATCCTAATGGTGTTTTGTTTCTTTTATTTTATTTTATGAAGGTTGATAAGAACCAAACTACATAATCAATAAAGGATAACATAACACAAGTCTTTTGGCCTGGAAAACCCAGATTTTCTGATATATATTGACAATATTAACAAAACAGAAAATCACAACCATAGTAGTCAATAGGCCGCGCCAGTTGCGCTTTGCGGAGCTTCGCCGCAACCATCCACGCCGTGCCGCAACAGTGTCTTTTTATGGTTTTAACCCTAACCCACTCTCTCTTTCTGCCTTTTTGCCTCTCTGTTGTGCGTCTCTCTTCTGCCTCTCTTGCTTTCTTTATCGCCCTCGTTTTCTCTCTTATAGTAGTTCAATGTGGAAGCCATGAACAAAGAAGCAAAGCTTTGAGTGAGAGAAAGAGTGAGAGAGAGAGAGAGAGAGAGAGAGAGCAGATGACGGAGAAAAGGAGAAAAAGTGAGAGAAATAGTAAGAGAGAGAGAGAGAATATATGAAGGAGAAAAAGAGAAACTGTGAGAGAAAACGGATGAAAGAGGAAAAGAGAAAAAGAGAAAAGTGAGAGAGAAAGAGATTCTGATCTATCTTTATTCAAAGAAGAAAAGTACATTTGTCAGAAAAGTGGTTCACAATTCACGGTAACCAAGTAACCTGGTTATAGTAATAGTGGGTAAAACTATTTCTATATCCCAAAATAAAAAGAATGCATCATTAAAAGGTTAACTAAGGTAAAACATTAAAGTAACTAAGACAAATCTCGTAAATCAGTAAAGTATAGTTACAACTAAAGGTAGTATAACTATAGCTAAAGTTTGGACACTTATTGCTAAGAGGTAACATGTCAACTCTACCTTTATTTTTTAATTTTTTTTATTATTTATCTTTATATTTTTTTTATTATTTGTATTTTTTTTAGGTGTCATCATTTTTTAATAATTTATTATGTTACACACACACACACACACATATATATATATAATTTGTTTTTTTAATAAATATATTCTTTCCGTTATTTTCGCAACCCCAACCCGCAATAACGTTATAGCAGTTTTGAAGGTTGGCCGCATTAGGCCGCAATCCGCATTTGATAACTATGATTACAACTGAAGAAAATTGTAAGGAAATTACAGAAACCAGAATGGCAAGAAAAGATGAATAACAACGGCAGGAAAGAACATAACAGTGAAGCAATTCGAGAGGCTTCATACTTTGCCAGTGTTTTTTTTTTGGGGGGCTACATCCATGGTTTTCTTAAATGTGACTTATTCTCTGATTTTGTTTTGCTGTTTTCTCTCTTGGTACATAATTTATGCTTCAATCAGTTCTTCCTTATCAGAATTGGCTGAAATCGGTTTTGCTATTGATGCTATTATGGAGGGGAATCTGTTGTTTCGATGAATATTCATTTCAGAAGTTCATGATATTTTTATTTCTTCATTTCAGGATGTTAATGCTGCACAAGTTTCTGTTTGTGAGGTCAAAACAACTGATGGTGCTCATTACCTGGCTCTGAAGGTATCCAAGTCAAAGAAGATGCCTAATGATTTTTGGAGCTTTTTAGATAAATATGGATATCGCTACGAGGGTGATCATACCCGAGCTTTGCTTCCTTTTGAGGTTTGGTTTCCACTTCCCTTTCTTTTTACTAGCTGCTTAAAAAGGCTAGTTGCTTTCACTTGTCTGGATATATGTTTCTCAAGTTACTGTATTTTTACTGTTCCTCTTTTTCATATACATCCTCCATTTTTTAGGCCTCTATATGCATAATATCTAATTTTTCTTTGTTATTTATTTTTGCTGTGACAGTTTATGTTCTCTAAATTGTCATGTGACAATGCATTTATAGGCATCCTTCAATGAGAGACATCACATTTCCGATAATTGTATTTTTGGGTCTGGCATTATCATTGCCGTGGACATCTTTTTTCTTTAATTTTTAAGGATATGCTGTTATTGATTTGTATTACTTGTTATCTACCCAGGAATGAACAAATGCTCCTTTCAACTACCTGTGCTTTTGTAGTGGCATATATATTTATCTTGACAATTCTATTTTCTGTCTGGATCACCCAGCTGGAATTTGTGTTTCCATTTTTTCTCTGTTTGAAAATTCTACTCCTAAAATGTTTGCGATTGACTGTTAAAGAGGTCTATAATTGAGAGAGTTCCATGGTAATCGCTATGTGCATTTTTTTCTTTTCTTTGTTGAAAATAGCCTTTTGTAATATAGTTATAATTAGTTCCTCATCTTCTAGTTTATTCTTTCTTTTATTTGGGTTAGTCTATATAGTAGACTGATTTACATTCGATTGTGTGAAATAATATTAAGTATTTCCCATATTTCAACTTTTTTTTAAAAATATTTTTGGGTTGAAATGTTTGTCTTTGCCTTTTGATTAATATTTTGCTCGTTAATTATCTAATAGGTGATGGAAATTATCAAGAGAATTCCTCTAGAGACCAAAAAAAAGCTTGCTGGAAAAGGATATTTTCCTCAAGATGGATATGTTTTCAAATTTCTTCCTGTACCACCGAATTGCTTGTCTGTGCCAGTAGTTTCAGATGGCGTCACTGTTATGGCTTCGGTGAGCAAATGATAATATGACTGGTTGCTTGATTGTAGAATTCTTGTATAGAGCATTGGTTAGCTATGTATATTTATTATTTTGCAGGATCCTTCCATGACAATCCTCAGAAAATTGCTCAGGAAGATTGAAATCATCAGAAGTTCTAGATCTGGTGAACCAAACTTTGAGTCTCATCAAGTTGAAGCAAATGACTTGCAGTTAGTGGTTGATCAATATCTCCAAGTTAGGGGTACGTCTAAACCAGCACGTGACATCGAAACACATTTTGGGGTCAATAAAGACCTCAGTACATCGTCAACAAAAGCATGGCTTGAGAAAATGAGGACTTTATTTATAAGCAAGGGTTCAGGTTTTTCTTCCCGGAGTGTGATAACTGGAGATGGTTATAAGAGGATAAATGAAGTAGGAATTCCGGCTGAAGTTGCCCAAAAGATTACATTTGAGGAGAGAGTAAATGTAAATAACATGAGTTATTTACAGAAGTTGGTAGATGAAAATTTGTGCTTGACCTTCAAGGAAGGTGTTTCTACTTATTCATTGAGAGAGGGCTCAAAGGGGCACACATTTTTAAAGTCTGGTCAGATTGTGCATCGGAGGATTATGGATGGTGATATTGTTTTCATAAACAGACCACCTACAACCCATAAACACTCATTGCAAGCACTTGTTGTGTACATCCACGATGACCACACAGTGAAAATAAATCCTTTAATTTGTGGACCCCTTGGGGCTGATTTTGACGGTGACTGTGTTCATTTGTTTTACCCACAGTCCCCTGCTGCTAAAGCTGAGGTTTTGGAACTATTCTCTGTTGAGAAACAGCTCCTTAGCTCTCACAGCGGTAATCTGAACCTACAGTTAACCACAGAATCGTTGTTGTCATTGAAGATGTTGTTTAAGAGATGTTTTTTGGATAGAGCAGCAGCTAATCAATTGGCCATGTTTCTTTTGCTGCCTTTGCCACGACCTGCTTTGCTGAAGGCCAGTTCTGGTGATTCTTATTGGACTTCCATGCAAATGTTGCAGTGTGCTTTGCCTTCCTCTTTTGATTGCGATGGGGGGCGATACTTAATTAGTGAGAGTGAAATCTTAGAATTTGATGTCAAAAAGGATGTTTTGCCTGCAATGATAAATGAAATAGCAGCCTCAATTTTCTTTGGGAAGGGTCCACAGGAGGCACTAAATTTCCTTGATGTAATACAACCCTTTTTGATGGAAAGCTTATTTGCTGATGGGTTTAGTGTTGGCCTACAAGATTTTTCAATATCCAGGGCTGCCAAAAGTATTTTAAATAGAAGCATTGGAAAAGTTTCTCCGTTGTTATATCAGTTGAGGTCCATATACAATGAACAGGTGGCACAAGAACTAGAGAAGCACATTCGAGATTTTGAACTCCCTGTAATAAATTTTGCCCTAAAGTCAACAAAACTTGGAGATTTAATTGACTCAAAGAGTAGGTCGGCTGTTGACAAGGTGGTTCAACAGATTGGGTTTTTAGGCCAGCAACTTTTTGAGAGGGGAAGATTCTATTCAAAGGGATTGGTTGAAGATGTAGCAACTCATTTTCATGTTAAGTGTTGTTATGATGGGGATGGTTATCCTTCTGCACAGTATGGATTACTCAAAGGGTGCTTTTTTCACGGTTTGGATCCCTATGAAGAGATGGTGCATTCAATTCCAACCAGGGAAACAATTGTACGTTCTTCAAAAGGATTATCTGAACCAGGAACGCTATTTAAGAACTTGATGGCCATTCTTCGGGATGTTGTGATTTGCTATGATGGAACTGTTAGAAATGTTTGTAGTAATTCGATTATCCAATTTGAGTATGGGATACAAGCTGGAGAGAAAAAAGCTCAGCACTTATTCCCTGCTGGTGAGCCTGTAGGTGTCTTAGCTGCAACTGCTATGTCAAATCCTGCATATAAGGCAGTCCTTGATGCTAGTCCTAACAGCAATTCTTCATGGGAGTTGATGAAGGTAATCATTTCTTCTTAGTTAATTTTGGTCATCTTTTTTCCCTCTAATGATTGTGTTTTTTCTTGAATTTTCTTTTTATGTGTTTTGCCCTCAGGAAGTATTACTTTGCAAGGTCAATTTTAAGAATGAACCCATTGATCGTCGTGTAATTTTATACTTGAATGACTGTTCTTGTGGAAGGAGTCATTGTCGAGAAAATGCGGCATATTTAGTTAAAAATCAATTGAGAAAAGTCAGTCTGAAGGATGCAGCAGTAGAGTTCATTATTGAGTAAGTTTCCTCTTTTAGTATCATTCTTTTTTTGGCACTATTCTGCATATAATGTTTAGTTAAGAAAAGTTTAATGTTACTTATAAGGCGTGGATCAACCATGGTTTGTTGGTTGCTTGACATCTTATGGCTTGAATTGTCTTTCTGAGTTGCATTTATGCACTTTAATGCGTGCTTACCTGCATAAAAAGTGTAATTATGTACCACACATTGGAAGATTCTCATATGGGCAATTCTCCTTTTTTTTTTTGGGGGGGGGGAGGGGGGGAGATGATTGGATTCTGGGTTTTGTATAGTGCCTTCTCCAGGTTTGCATGAGTTGAACATGCAGACTAGAACGAAGAAAACAAGCATAGAACACTTAGCAGCCAAAGCATTTCCCAACTGACACAAGGACAAATTTTCTTTAAATCTTAAGCTTTTAGGATGGTTTTATATCTCTAATATGGTCCCTGCTGCAAGTTTCGTTTTTGATGAAGCATGCACAATAGGCATGCCTATTTTTATTCTTATGCTGAAATTCAAATTCAACTTAATTATTAAGAAATGGGACTTCAAGGATTAAACTCTGACAACTTGTCAAGAGACAACTTTTCTAATATCTATTGCTGTTAGGCGGAGGCCCTTGAATGATTTTATAACTCTTTTATTATTGTTATTGGTTGTTTTGCTTGAATTTTGGCCTTTTTGCCACTTTTCTTATCATCTGCTTCTGTATTTCTGTCTTATTCTTTAGCATACTTTTTTAATTCTACAAAAAATGGCCAGCATCAGGCTTTTCTGGTGTTGAGACAAGGAATTGAAATTGTTGGAAGCATGTTGCCATCAAGTTGGATATTAGTGTTTGTATTCTTGTTAAGTTGTTGTTAGTTCACGTTAAGCTAGAGTAAGACTGAGTATATGAGGTGAGTTTTCTCTGGTAATAGATGGAGATCAAGACCCCATGCATCTACTTGGTCAAGAGGTACCCAAGAAAGATGCTTTTAGATACTTGGGATCAATTTTTCAAAAAAGTGGTGAGATTGATGAGGATGTAAATCATAGAATCAGAGCACGATGAATGAAATGGTGGAGTGCATCTGGGTTTTTGTGTGACTGCAAAATTTCCCTTAAGCTAAAAGGAAAATTCTATAGAACAACAATAAGGCCTGCAATGATATATAGAGTTGAATGTTGGCCAACATACAGGCAACCTGAGCATGTTGTTAAGATGGATGTTAAGGTGAGGATGTTAAGGTGGATGTGTATTTATACGAGGATGGATAATATAAGAAATGAAGATATTTGACGAGAACAGTAAGGCTTGCAATGTTATATTGAGTTGAATGTTGGCCAGCACATACGCAACATGAGCATGTTGTTAAGGTGGATGTTAAGGTGAATGTGTAGTTATACGAGGATGGATAAGATAAGAAATGAAAATATTCGACGAAAAGTAGGAGTAGTATTGATGATTGAAAAGATGAGGAACATAAATTGAGGTGGTTTGGGCATGTAATGAGACGGTCCCTGGATGCTCCCGTAAGAGCAAAAGTTTGTTACCAAGAGCTTGACACAAAGAGAGGTAGAGGTAGACCAAAACTTACCTGTGAAAAGGTAGTTAAACAAGACTTAATGGAGTGGGATATAGATTGACGGACGATGTGTTTTAGGACATAATGAAGAAAAGCTATAAGCAGGGTGGAGGGTTAGACCCGTTGTTATCCCTATATTCTAGATGGTCCCATTTTAGCCCTTCTCCTCTTCATCCCCCCTCCTTCTTTTCCCCTTCTTTTCTTTTATCTTATTTTTCCTTTACCCTTTTTTATTTATTTATTTTTCGTATCTATCATTGGGTTCATCTACCACCGACCCTAATTAGCTTGGGTTAAAGGTAATGTTAATGTTGATGTTGATTCTTGTTAAATTGTTGTAACTTTCAAAAGCAGTATGTTATTAATAGTATACTTCTTTTTTGAGAATTCAGATGCCTGTTATCATATGCTTTTTCTTAATCCCAAAATAATTTTTTTTATTGGATTGATGTTATTTGAAAATTAAAAGATGTCAGCTTATTTCTGGCGTTGCATTGTTTTTCTTGACTTTCATCAAGAGTTTATTTAGTGGGATTTTACTGGCTTCTCTGTGTATTTTTGTTTTTTGATATTGTTGCTTTATAGTATCTATGGAGTTCTTTAAAATTCTTTATCTGGGTTTCTATCAAATCTTGACTTATGTGTCCTTGAAATTGTCTTTCTCTTGCCAAGAAAGTCCTGAAATTTATTCTAGAGTACAAGTTCTGTGGTATGACTTATGACTTGTAAATATTTTGTGTTTTATTTTCTTTTCTGTCCCTTTCTAACGTCTTTTGTTGAAAAGTTGATTTTTTTAGTCTTTAGGTAGGGAGATAACTGTTTTATAAGACTAAAACTTTCTTTCTGGTCTTTTTAAAAAATGTGGAAAAGCTTTGGTTTGCTAATGGATATGTTGAATAACATGGAAAAGAGAGGGAATGTTTAGATCCGTGAGTGTCAATAGCACATCGGAGGATATATTGTATAGAGCGGCAGCGGCTATAACAATTGCGTAAGACTAATATAACGATGTGGGACTTTTTATCAACCTATTTTCAATACATCTTGGACTACCCGTCAAGCTAAAGCTTACTAAGCTTTGAGTTTGCTACAAATGAACCCTTACGAATGAAAATTAACCAAATAATATACTTGGGCTCCACAAAACAAGGTTGCGAAGTGAACTCACGTATTGGATAATAATCTGTCGTCAGTGATATTCCATTTTCGGTGGAATTTCTTTACCTTTATTCCTTTTCTCCTTTACACCTACTCTACATTTACTATTTTGCATCCTCCAAAAATCAACTAGGGTTCTAGTATTTTCGGAGTTCTAATTGATCGGGCAACTTATGATTTTTAGCCTCTTTCTCTTTTTCTTTTTTTTAATTTTTCTTGAATATATCTGCTGTCCTCCAATTAAGGTTGGAAGGATTTTTCTCTATGATTGGTTTTATTGGTTTGGTAGAAGTAGAGGCCAAACTTTTGGGGCAATGCACAGTTTGTGCTAAAATTTTGTTGATTTGGTTGAAGCTAAACTATCGTATTTTTAATGAGGTTTCTCTGGTACATCACTTGATTTGGGATAAGACAAGGGATTTGGTGTCTATTTGGTGCCTTTTTAATTGGGTTTCACTAACAGATATGTTGAGAGATTGGGAAGCTATGTTACATTGATTTTCTCTTTTTTCTTTTTTCTTTTCTATTTTGTTCTTTTGTTAGGAGAATATCTTATTTTTCTTTCTCTTGAATAATTCTTTCTCTTCATCTCAATAATAATCTTCTTTTATAAAAAAATTCTTAGACTCTTCCCATGTGTCTTGTTCATCATATTCTTCCATTTTCCTACCCACTCTCCAAATAGGAATACTTTCTCACTAAACCCCTCTGAAAGTTCAATGCCCCATTAGAGGGAAGACTGAGTGTGCATGTGCTGGCATGCATGGGCATGTTATCAGATATAAAAGTAATCGTATCATATGGAAAAGAGGTTTTGTGTATACAAGTAGGGAGTTGTTTGATATCCTTCAAGACCGGAAATTGTACATATATCATGGAACATAAAAACACGAGTGCTGCTTGGCTGCTCAGTCTACCTGAATGTAAGGAATATTAACTCCTTTGAATCAGCCATGAGCAAATACCAGAGAGAAGACATTTATGTACTATTTTAGAAACTGCTTCCCAGTTATGATTGCAAAGCTGCCCGGAACCGGATGCTTTTGAACTTTAGGTGTATACTGTTTGTATTTGAATTCCTTTTTGCATGTATTGGCGGGGAGGGGTTCAGTTTTAAAGGTTGAACAGAGGATGATTACTGCACACTGTTTATGCTGTGATGTGGTGCTTTTTGTTTGTGCATTGTTTTTGAGGTGATGTGGTGCTTGTTCATAAATTTACTATGTCTAGTTTTTTTTTTTTGCTGCAGGGTTAGAATTATTTTATAATGAGTTGATTTTTGGATCATGGCTTATGTTTTTGTCCTTTTAGTTCATGGAGGATATCACATCCTCATAAGCAGTTTGTCTGCTCTCTTTTTTATCTACTACTTATTTTATGTGGGCGGGGTATTTGCATTATTCAACTAAGTTGTGATATTTTATATTTTTAAAAATGAGACCGTTCAATTTTTTTTTTGGTACCTGTTTCTCATCTGCAGATACCAACAGCAGCGAACTCACAGGGAAAGTTCTGAAACTGATGCAGGCCTTATTGGTCATATTCATCTGGACGAGGTTATTGGATTTCCTTTATATCCAATTTCAGCATATTTATGTGTGGCTACCTACCTTACTCCATACATTGATTCATACAGTGACTACCTGACTTGGATTGTCCTACATTAAATATTAAGAACAATGTATTTAGGAGAAACTGGTGTTGTACTTGTTAAGGTTAGCATGATATTCATGTGAGGAGAAGAACAACACAGGCCTTTGATGTAGGGCAATCCAAGTCTTGGTTGTTTTTGTATTATAAATATGGGAAAAGTGTATGTCATTTTAAAGGATGTAAAGTTGTGTCATTTTAAGAGAGAGAAAGAGATAGATAAAGGAGGAGAGAGAGTTGACAAAAAAAATAAAGGTGTGGGTCTCACCTCTTTGTGAGAGTGAAAGGATATAAGTTGTGTCATTTAAAAGGATAAACACTTTTCCCTATAAATACAATAACTACTGTTATTTTTTAATGTATTTAATAGTTAACAATATAATTTTTTGAACAGATGATGTTAGCAGAGTTAAAGATCAATGCGACTGAAGTTTTCCAAAGATGCCAAGAAAGACTTAATTCCTTCAGTCGAAAAAAGAAAGTTTATCAAGTTTTTAAGAGGACTGAATTGTTTTTCAGGTTTAATCTTCTGTTCTGTCCATATGCATTGGATAAATCACCTTGCATTCTTAATTATTCATGCTTACCTGAAGTAATTAGTTAATTGCAATGTGATCTAGGAAACTTCGAAACTCATTTATGTTTTAATTTTTTCACTCTTGATGTACAAATGGGGAGGCCTAGAATGGTAGTCTGGGCATATTTTTATATTACAAGCTGTTGTGTTTTTCTTGTTTGGTTTTCTTTTTTATTTTTTTCTTGGTTTCATAACCAAACTTTTTCTTGTAGATAATTTTCTTTTTTTCTTTATTAAAATTTGTATAGTTCTGACAAAATTTCTAACATATATGTATGTATGTATATTATAGAATATGTATGATGTTCTTGTCATGTACATTTTCATAAGATTGTGATTCAAATGATTATTTGACTTTTGGCATAGCAAGTGCTTAACTTTTTTTTAATAGAAATAGAAAATGTTAGAATGAAATGAGGGGAAGTTCAACTAAAGGAGGATAGGAAATCCTCCTATTCCTGAAAAAGGGCAAAGTAAAAGGAGAACAAGAAAATAAAAACATAGTGAAGCTGCCTGATCTCTTCAAAAGTTTAAAATGGCCACACCCTCGAAGCAACCACTAGCAGAACACCTCAAAGAGGCATTAGAGACAATACAATCCCATGATAAGTTGAATGGAAAAGTGTCAGACCTAGCTGAATGTAGTATTTAAGATCATATATATTTATTGATTGATTGTACTTAAATGTTTTTGCATTTCTGTCTGGGTGTTGAAGTTTGTTATCAAAACTAGGAATTTCATTGTTTTCTCATGATTGCAAGTTTTGATCACTTTCAACACATTATTATATAATGAGGATCCCAACAAACTCAGCCATCATATCTGTTGAGTTTGCCAATCCTATATCACTGATACAACCCTTTGAATATTCTGTGATGCCTTTTCCTTGGAAAAACTAAGGTTTCTCTTTCCATTTCTGCTTCAGAGGCGATTCAAAATAGAATTTTTTCTTGTTTTCTTTATGAGGATTTCTTATCTATGTTCCTTCTTGGCAGTGAGTCTTGTTCTTCTCCACATTCTTCTGCACCATGTGTAACGTTCCTTTGGCGAGATGATGTTACTGATTTAGACAAAACTGCCAACATCCTGGCTGACTTAATCTGCCCAGTTCTGTTAGAAACAATAATCAAAGGTATTTTCCTTACATTTATTTTTTAATGAAATTCTATATTTCTATTATCATTAAACCAATATATAGGGTTTAGGTAGGGAATATGGAAATGAGAAAGAGGATACTTAGAATAATTTGGGATTTAATTGATACTCTGATGTGATGCTATACACAAACATAAGTGTTTCTTTTTTTGTTCCATTCTAATAGTTAGGTCAAGCATTAGTACCATTTGTTCAATCCAAACCGACTAATCAACAAGTCTCTAAACCTTAATATGCTAAACATTTGCTCTCAAGCTAAAGCGTACTAAGCTTAAGCTTGTTACATGTAGCAAACCCACAAAACAAAAAACATAGAACAACATAATCTAAACCCGGTTGGCCCATTTCGAATGAATAACTTGCGCAACTCGTACTCTTCCTATAGGCCTTGGAAGTCTTTTACCATTCTCTTCAAGCACTGGAATTACCACTGGCAAATGCAGCCACTATCAGAAACTCCACTAGCCTTTACAGAAAGCACAAAGAGGTGGTTGCAGGACCAGTCATGTGCTCAATTACATGAGCCGTTGTGTGTCCTTTTCTCACATCCATAAGTAATTGTCCAGTTGGAAATTTTACTTTTATTTATGTTTTTAGGATTTAATCTGCTTACAAATTTTCGTTCTTGTTCAGGTTTGTTAGGAATTAATTTATATTGTTGGTCTGTCGTCTGTTGTGTTGCATTCATTATTATACATAAATGCATTAGCTACATATATTCTTGTAGGAAATCTTTCTGATTTTCTCTCATAAATAAATAGGAGACCCCCGTATTAGCTCTGCAAGTATAATCTGGGTTAATTCAGACTCAAACATGTGGGTTCGAAACCCTTGCAAATCTTCTAATGGTGAATTGGCATTAGACATCATTCTTGAGAAAGAAGCTGTTAAACAAAGTGGTGATGCATGGAGGATTGTACTTGACTCCTGCCTTCCTGTTCTTCATTTGATTGATACTTGTCGTTCCATCCCATATGCTATTAAGCAAATTCAGGAATTACTAGGGATATCATGTACTTTTGATCAAGCAATTCAGGTAAATTTATTAAGACTATATTGAATATAATGTTAAGTGTATGGTAGGTTCTCTTCTTATTCTTGAGATCATGCACCTTTAGCATGCTTCTAGCAGGCTGCGGTGAAAAGTGTGTATTTCTCATTCATCAATCTTCAAAAGTGCATACATTTTTCCTTTGCTGTATGTGACCTAGAGTCATAGTCATAAGTGACATAGAGCTGGCTGCATATAGTATCATCTATTGGTGTTTTCATTTCATAGAAGTGCATTTCTTCTAGTTCTGCCTGCTTTATTTACCTTCATGCATATGTGACCATTATGATTGTTACTTACAAAAATCCATGCCTGAAGTTCATATTTGTAAAAATTTTCTGGTAAATATTGGAGTTCTTGGCGTATTTTCTAAGAAGTTCAACTATTTTATAGCTTCCTTTGTTAAGAGTCTTACTAAGAACGGAATAGTCACTGTTTTGATAATTGTGATAGGAAACTACTGCATAAAGATATGTAGGCCTAAAAATGTGGGCAAACTGAGAAGAGATCTATTTGTTTTGGAGGTTTTCTTTGTAGGCCTTAAAATGAAGGGGATTATGGCTTGGGGAATTTGTTGTGTAGAAACATTGCTTTTGCAGCTAAGTGGCTTCCGCACATTTCTTGAGAGGCTAATTATTTGTGGAATAAAGAAATTTAGTGTCCAGTGGTATTGTTGTAATGGGTGGGATTCCAGCCAAGTGACCATTGCTACTCATGCTAATCCTTGAAAGTTTATTTCCCAGAGTATGTTGCATATTGACTGCAGTCTCTTCCAGTTTGGGTTATGGTAGTATGGTACCTCTACAAAACTTTGGTTTCAGATTTAGATGTTTTATTTCTTCTCTGGCTTGAATTTCTTAGCACAATTCCTTCTGATTCTTTTGTATTTTTTGCTGTCCTTCCATCAACCTCCATAGGTGTACCTATGAAACAATAAAAGAGTCCAATTTATTACGTGTTTATCATCTAAAACTAACAAAAATTCACAATGTGATTACTATAGAAATAACACAGAAAATTACTGAAGTACTCGAATAAAGCTATGGTCTCTAGCATGAACTTAGGAATTTTCATCCTTATTTTTCATCTCAAAGTAATGGCAATTCCTAGGATTGTCAGTTCTTCATGTACTCGAGATTTTTTTGATAGTTGGATATATACATTTTGACAGATATTAGGAAACTAAGGAGGCATTTGGTTTGTTTTTTGTGCACATTTTTAGTTAATATATTTTTGTTTATTATTACAAAAATTTCACCTTGTTTACATGTTGATTCTTGTTTCACAAGATGTTGTGAAGGAAATGGTGAAAACAAGATTTTGTTTTTCACCATTTCCTTTGCAAATTCTTGAAATCAGAAAACAAAGTTGCATTTTGTAATTATTATTGGGGAAATAGTTTTCTCATTTCACATGAGAAATTTTTTCCTTCCTACACACAGTCACACACAATTAATAGGTGGGTCCCACTTTGGTTTTTTTGTCTTCTCACTTTTTTGTGGACCCCACTCATTTATTTTGTGTGTAGGAAGGAAAAAATTTCTCATGTAAAATGAGAAAACTAATTCCCTTATTATTATTATTAGTGAAATCATCTCGAATGAAAATAAACCAAACACCGCCCCAGATTTTATTACAGTTTGCAATTTTTGCAATCCTTTGATGTGTGTAGTTGTAATGTTCATATTTGTTGTCCAATTGTCCATAAGCCTGATTTGGGATATTGTTACAATTTTGTCTTTTCTTGTTAGCGAAATCTCTTCTGTCAAAAAAGTTGAGATTGATATCATCAATTATTGAGTCTTGTTGGATGAAAGAGCCTTGATCGTGGTCTGCTCTTTCTAGTTGCCCCGCATCAGGTGTCTAACATTTCTTCTTCTCTTATTCTTTTGTTGCTAAATGCAGCGTGTAGCAGCATCTGTGAAAATGGTGGCAAAAGGTGTTCTTAGAGAGCATCTCATTCTGTTAGCTAATAGTATGACTTGTGGTGGGAATTTGGTTGGCTTTAATATGGGTGGATATAAAGCAATGGCTCGACAGTTAAATATTCAAGTACCATTCACTGATGCAACACTCTTTGTAAGGGACTGCCTTGCTAATTGTTGAAATTATGAGATGTATCATGTCATTATCTTTCTCTTACTTTGTAAATGTGATTGTCCAGACACCGAGAAAATGTTTTGAGCGAGCTGCTGAGAAATGCCATACTGACTCTTTATCAAGTATAGTTGCCTCCTGTTCCTGGGGTAAACATGTGGCAGTTGGTACAGGATCAAGATTTGACATCATATGGAATGCAAAAGATGTATTTGATTTTTACTCAGATTTATTATTTGACTTGATGATATGAAGAGTTGGAATTCTGTAAACATTATTGTAATATCGGTTTTTTCTTCTGCAGATAAAAGCAGATGAGATTGGAGGGGTGGATGTTTACGACTTTCTTTACACGATGAAAAGCCTTGCCAATGGGGAAGAAGAATACAATGCTTGTTTGGGTGGAGATATTGATGATTTGCTAGAAGATGAGGAAAATGTGGGCCAGGCCGTGTCTCCACAGCATGATGCTGTCTTTGAAGAGAACTTTGATTGGAAAGCGGATGCTATCGAAGAAGACTCTTCCAAGTCAAGTGATTGGCATGTAAACACTGATCAAACAAAAGTAAAATCTAATGATTGGTCTGCTTGGGGAAGAAATAAATCTGCAATACAAGATGGTGGGTCTGAAAGAGCCCAAGATGACTCTTCTAAGTCCACTGCTTGGGATGTAAACACTGATCAAACAAAAGTAAAATCTAATGATTGGTCTTCCTGGGGAAGAAATAAATCTGCAATACAAGTTGGTGGGTCTGAAAGAGCCCAAGAGGACTCTTCTAAGTCCACTGCTTGGGATGCTAGCACTGATCAAACAAAAGTAAACTCTAAAGATTGGTCTTCTTGGGGAAGAAATGAATCTGCAATACAAGATGGTGTGTCTGAAAGAGCCCAAGAGGACTCTTCTAAGTCCACTGCTTGGGATGCTAACACTGATCAAACAAAAGGAAAATCTAAAGATTGGTCGTTTTGGGGAAGAAATGAATCTGCAATACAAGATGGTGGGTCTGAAAGAGCCCAAGAGGACTCTTCTAAGTCCACTGCTTGGGATGCTAACACTGATCAAACAAAAGGAAAATCTAAAGATTGGTCTTCTTGGGGAAGAAATAAATCTCCAATACAAGATGGTGGGTCTGAAAGAGCCCAAGAGGACTCTTCTAAGTCCACTGCTTGGGATGCTAACACCAATCAAACTGAAGCAAAATCTAATGATTGGTCTTCTTGGGGAAGAAATAAATCTGAAATACATGATGGTGGGTCTGAAATAGACCAAGAAGATTCTCCGAGCTTTGGAAAGTGGCAAGGTGAATATAATAAGGTTGGATCTGGTGTTACCCAGGATGACTCTTCTAGGTCCAGTGCTTGGGGTGCAAACAAAGATAAGACTAAACCAAATTCCAATGATTGGTCCTTTCGGGGAAGAAATAAAGATGAAATACAAGATACTGGGTCAGAAAGAGCCCAAAAGGATTCTTGGAGCTCTGGTAAGTGGAAAGCTGAATCTAAGGTTGGAGCTGATATGCGAGAGAACTCTTCTAGATCCAATGCCTGGGAGCATAATTCTGACAATGTGAATGAGATTCAGAGTAAGGAAATTGATTTAAATTGGGATGCCAAGTTGCCGGCTGACAATTGCTCTTGGGGGAAATCCAAATCCCCAGAAAATAAAGCTTGGGGTTCCCAGAATGAGTCAAACCAGGCTGCAAGTTCACGTGGATGGGACTCACAAGTTGCTTCTGCTAATTCTGATAGTGATAGAAATTTTCAGTGGGGAAAACAGGGTAGAGAATCATTTAAGAAAAACCGCTTTGAAGGTTCGCAAGGTTGGGGTTCTAATGCTGGAGACAGGAAAAATAATAATCGCCCCCCTAGAGCACCTGGGCAGAGATTGGATATATACTCTTCTGAGGAACAGGATGTTCTCAAGGACATTGAACCTGTTATGCAGTCAATCAGACGAATTATGCAACAACAAGGGTAAGTTTCCTGAGGCAGCAAGTGCAACTCTCCAATAGATTATTAACTTACAAGGTTAAACAAATTTGTGATACCTTTATACCTTTTCCTATGCTTGAAATGTCATTTGTATGCTCAGGTTACACCCAGACTTTTTGTTGTCTCACTCATTTTACCTACATTTATTGCAAGGTGGATAATTTGAAACTGCATGTGTCATTCCTGCCATTTTCAGAACCACTGGAATTTTTATGGAAGTTATTTTTGGTGTGGTGTTAACATAATACCATTAACTATGATAGCTGTTATCAGCTACTATGATTTTTTCTCCTGATAAAAGTATTGAATAACATCGAAAATAAAAGGCAAATGTTTTTTTTTGGGTATTGAAATCCAAATGTTTTAATCTGTGTCAATAGCACAACGGTTAGTGAATTTCCATTGTTGTTTCCTTTTTCCGTACTCCCTATTCTAGCAGTCCGAGATTTCCTATGAATTATGTATCATAAGCTGCATCATGTTTATCTTATTTTTCTAATAATAAATTCCTGTGTGAAGGTACAATGATGGGGATCCTCTTGCTGCTGAAGATCAACAATTTGTACTTGAAAATGTCTTTGAACACCATCCGGATAAAGAAACCAAAATGGGTGTTGGAATTGATCATGTCATGGTATCCTCCAGTTCTGCTTTCTGGCCTTTTGAGCTTTCATTTACAGTGATAATTGTTTTCATTAAAGGTGCCCCGGATGAACGAGTTTCTTTCTAAAACTTGGAGGATTTGTGTACTGACTAACTGATGTTGGTTTATCTTGATTTCTTTCTTTCCATCCTTGCGTATCAATTTCAGTATACGCTATATAATATATCCATTTGTGTATAATGCGTTGTGTTGTGTTGAGATTTAATGTGTGTGTGTGTGTGTGTCTAGGCTTTCGTGCATATTTAATGTTAGGAGGACTTGTTACAGGTCAGTAGACACAGCAGTTTTCAAGACAGCAGATGCTTTTACGTGGTTTTGAAGGATGGACGAAGAGAAGACTTTTCGTACCGGAAGTGCTTGGATAACTTTATAAAAAAGAAGTATCCAGCAGACCTTGCTGAATCGTTCATCGGTAAATATTTCTGGAAACCCCGTGGTAGGGGGGACAGGACCACAACTCCAATGGGGGAACAGACCCCAACTCCAATGGGGGAACAGACCCCAACTAATGTGCCTGCGGAAACAAATGAGTAGAAGTTTAGAGTTGTGTCCATAATACTGTACAGAAACGGCTCTGTTGATGCCACTGAATAGTTTGTCACAACTGACCAATTTTCCGGTAGGAAACACTGTTTGATTGTCTCAACGCTTCCGATGTTAATTGTTTTAGCTTGTAAAGGATGATAACTCACTTATGTTAGATGTTTGAATGATGACAGCACGTGATGTGCCTGGCACCTCTATCTCTACCCTGCCCTGCCCTGCCCATAATTGAATAGGTTTCTCAGCATTTTATCTGTAAACTGGTAAATTCCTTGGTTATAGTTTTCTTTCTCTATAGATTTTAATTTTTCAATTCTCGTCTTTATTTTTTTTATTATATACTATATATTTTATTTTTCATTAATTTTTTCTTAACATGTTCTTGGTTGATTTACGACCGACTCTAACTTGTTCAATAAATGTTATCATGATTTACGACCGACTCTAACATGTTTGATTGGAAATCTCGATTTATAAAGATATTGAACAAACCATTTCATTTGTTTATCCATGTAAACACAATTATGTAGTGTTACTACTGAGCTTATTCAATTTTTCATTACAATCCCGGTTTAAAAACTATACTGTTGCATTTTTCAAGTCAAAGCTACGAGAATTCTTTTCCCCAAGGATGGCACTGTGATGAATCTCTAATCTCATGTAATTTATTTAAGTTCTTTCCCACGCCCACTTCAAATGGCTTAAGCTTTCAGAATTATGAGAAAGACAAATTTAGACCACTGAAGTTTTTGATTGGTTATTTTCATCTTTTGTTACAAATGTCGAATTGGACATTTTTACATTTTAATGGAAACCTAAGAAAATTTCATATAACTTTATGAAGACATCGAAGTGCAGTGCACGTATTTAAGTGGGTGACATATTGCGTACAAGGTGGTTGAATGCTTGGCGCAATTTGATCACATCAAATTGGTACCTCAAATTAGTATCCAATCCTAATCTTTATTTGGCAGACAGGTAATCTTCTACTTATTATAAGAATAAGTTTTATTTTTTGTACCAAAAAAAAAAGTCTTATTTTCAACTTTATTGGAGATTTGATATCTTATTCATAAAGAGAAAAAATGGTCCCCCATATATCTTTGGGTGTGTATAAGAGATATTCTAAACACATGTAAAAGTATGTGAGACCCAGATAGAATTTGAAATAGGAAGACAAATAGATCAACAAGGAGAAACTCTTCTAATTTCAATAATTCAAAGTTTTATAGGAGATACTAGAATTTTTGAAGAACGAACCTATGAAGTATTACATAAACCAAGATGTCCTAGTATGAGAGCTTTTAGATGGTATGCCGCTAATTTCTTAGTGTTGCTTTTTTCTAGAGTAGATTATAGAAAAGTGATCCGGATAAAATATAGGCCCAATCAGGGCCCAATAACACATGGAAACCCAAGCCCATTAAAGACCTAGAACAAGGCTTGAAGGACAGCCACAGACGCGATGATCATATCGCGGCACACCAGACGCGATGCCCTCATCGCGCCATACAAGACGCGATGCCCTCATTGCGCCATACAAGACGCGATGCCCTCATTGCGCCATACAAGACGCGATGGCCTCATCGTGCACGATACCTTCTACAGGAAGTAAGCTTAAAGGCCAAGGCAACTCCACCGCGCCTTAACACCAGTAAGCAACAGACAGCTCCACCTCGCCATAACTCTAATACTAGACACCATGGCTGTAAGCTCCTCAACATTTAATCATGACAGCCATATTACTTTGGCACCAAGGAACCTTTGCCTTCACCATGAAGAAAGGCATCTTCCAAGCACACATCACAACTACTATATAAACACACGATGTACCACCAAGGTACGATCATCTTTAACTTTCACAACATAAACACCTGCCTCTGATACTGACTTAAGCATCAGAGTGTCTTTGCAGTTACCCCCCCATTTGGTGCATCGTGAAGGACAAAGGGCTCAAGCTCACTCCAACAGCAGTACCAGGCCCAGGCCAATAACCACTGAAGGAGCCTCAACCGTGTGTGATTGGGCTTAATACGAATTGGACCGTCCATACCGCATTTGGTCCGATCATTGGCGCCGTCTGTGGGGAACTATTACCCACCTCTCTCTAAAAACATGGTTGACACTCGCAACAAATCCCAGAATGGGTCTAAAGGAAAGCGAAAGGAGATTCCTGCTTCCCGTGAAAAATCAGCTTCATCGGTGGCTCCAATTCCCATCCACCTGGATGAGCCACCGACACCCCAACACCTGTTGGACCTCATCACCCAGAACAACAGAATTGCCCATCAAAATCGAGATTTAGCACTATTGAAAAAAGCTCAAAAGAACAAAGAAAAAGAAAAAGACTTGAAAAGGAAAAAATTCCCGTAAATTCCGATGCAAACGAATCACACTCAACTGGTGATCCAGGACCTCCGGGTCATAAAAACAAGAAATGAGAAGAAATAAAAACTACTCACGAGAATGAAAATTCGCATGGTAATTCTAGGACCTTCTCTCGAATTATTCATCCGTTTGTCCCCTGCATAATGAACATCCCAATTCCTTGAGATGTCAAGATTACAACTGAAAAATATAATGGTAAAGGGGACCTTCAAGAGCATCTGGAACAATTCCAGACAAACATAATGGCGCAAGATGTCGCAGACCCGATAGCATGCCGACTGTTTCCCACAACCCTTAAGGAGACAGCCCTTAGGTGGTACTCAGCGCTGCCACCTAATTCAGTACAAAGTTGGGAAGACGTAACCAACCAGTTTCTCGTGTGGTTCGCAACAAGCAAAGCACAATACAAATCCAATCACGTGCTAAAAATGGTTCGACAGGAATTAAATGAAACTTTGTGCGATTATTTAAACAGATTCTTTCATGAAGCACTCTTGGTCAGATATTTAGATCCACAAGTCTCGCTACACATCATCACTGAAGGACTTGTTGAAGGCCCTTTCTCTATGTCACTGGCCAAACAGCGACCCCACACCATCGAGGAACTGCGCACATGTTCAGAGAAATTCATCAACCTGGAAGATTATAAGCGATCACGAGAAATCTCCAACACCAGGGTCAACACGGACAACTTCGAAAGAGATGTCCAGAAGAATTTTTCACGAAAATTCCGCGAAAAAGAAAATGGGGAAAATACGACAACTACACCTCCTTGAATACATCTCAAAAACGGATTTTTAAGGAAGTATTCCAAACAGGGTACGTTCAGGTTAACATACCTCCTCCAATGCCCAAAGGAGTTCAGCGCGATGAAACCAAATTTTGCGAATTTCACAACGGCAAAGTTCATACCACTGACGAATGTCTCGCGCTCAGAAATACCATCGACGCGCTCATAAGAGAAGGAAAGCTCCAGGAATTTATTTCCAGCTACAGGGAATACAAGACGCAACGAAGGCGCAATAGAAGCCCTGATCACGACTCAAATCCCAGTGAACAAAGGGGACGTCCTAGGAGAAACTATAACCCTACTCGCAACAGTGATTGAAGAGAGGGCAGAGCAACTTCAACTGAACGACGTCAAAGAACTCCACCAAGAAATAGACAGCAAATCGCGGAGCAGCACCGCGATGGACTACCTAACAACGCGGCAGGTGTGTTAGCCACTATTGCCGGAGGATCAGCGGGAGGAGGTGCGACCAAATCTCAACAAAAAAGCATCTGAAATCAGTAATGACGGTGCGCGATCACGCACGCCCATCTACCTCTCGTGATCAAAGACAGGCCATAAATTTTGACAATGATGACTATGGCGACATCATAACAGATCATGATGACCCACTAGTGATCTCAGCGTGCATGGATAATCTGCAGGTAAAACGCATTATGATTGATAATGGTAGTTCAGCTGATATTATATTCTGGGATGCTTTTCGCGTGATGCATATTCCAGAGGAACATCTCAGCCATGGGTGTTCAGACCTAATTGGCTTCGCCGAAGAATGCGTACAGCCTAAAGGCACCATTGAGATGTGGGTCACTTTCGGAAACATGCCTTTTGCCCGAACTATCAAGGTGAAATTTTACGTCATTGAGTATGCATCTGCATATAACATCATTATAGGAAGACCAACTATTGCCGCATTAAAGGCAATCATTTCTATGCCTCACCTTCTGATGAAATTCTGTGACAAGTCTGGCACGGTAGTTGCCATCAGAGGCGACCAGAAAACAGCGCGCAGCTGTTATAACACCAGTTTAAGAGCCAAAACTCCTTTACAACCTGATGACAAAGGCAAAGCATCAGTTAATATGACCGATCTTGACATGCGTGACCACCTGCGCGATACTCGTCCCCAACCTGATGGGGAGTTGGAAAATCTCCAAATAGGTCCCCTCCTGGAAAACACCACCAAAATCGGACGAAACTTACCAGAAGCTGAGAAAAGCGCACTGATAACAGTATTGCTGAATAATAAAGACCTTTTTGCTTGGACAGCCGCCGATATGCTAGGGATAGACCCGGGGATAATATGTCACCATTTAACCCTGGATCCCAAAGCAAAACCCATCGCGCAGAAAAAAATGCAAAATCTCCCCAAAGAAACAACAAGCGGTTGAGACTGAAGTCGCAAAACTGCTTGACGCAGGAATAATCAGAGAAATCACGTACTCTACTTGGCTTTCCAATGTCGTACTAGTCAAGAAACCCAACGAAAAGTGGCGTATGTGTACCGATTACACAGATCTCAACAAATATTGTCCAAAGGACTTTTACCCACTTCCCACCATCGATAAGCTAGTTGATAATTCGGCGGGATACCAAATTTTATCCTTCATGGACGCATATTCAGGATACAACCAGATTCTGATGTTCACACCAGATGAGGAAGCCACAACTTTTATCACTGAAAGAGCTACCTACTGCTATAACATGATGCCATTTGGTCTCAAAAAAGCCGGAGCTACTTATCAACGCATGATGAACAAAGTTTTCAGTCAGCAGATTGGACAGATGCTTGAAGTATACATCGATGATATGATAGTCAAAACAATGACTACTTCACAACATCCTCAAGATTTGGAACAGGTATTTCAGCAACTGCGCAAGTACAAGTTACGACTTAATCCAGCCAGATGCGCGTTTGGAGTGCCTGCTGGAAAGTTCTTAGGATTCATGCTCACACATCGCGGGATAGAGGCCAACCCTGATAAATGCAACGCCATACTCAATATGACCCGCCCGCGAAGCGTAAAGGAACTACAACAATTAACAGGAAGAATCACTGCCT